AATGTCAAATATTATCTTTACTTTTAGCACAGCCGACTTGCATTAAAAAATCTGGCCATCCAAGTTAATGCATTTTTGTCGATTTTTTTGTATTGTAACCAAACATCCAACTTAAAACTAAATATTATACATACACATATTTTTAAAAATATTTTACAACATGAAGATTGACCAAGAATTACATATGATAAAAAATTGTTGGCTTTTCATCGCATAAAATTACAAATTTTATATTTTGAGTGGTTGGGCCAACTTCACTGAGACAGGGCTCGTAAAATGCCACTTATAAGAGTACAAAATCAATGTTTTGAACTTGAAATGATATCAACTTTCGATTTTTAAATGGAGCTCCCCATATATTTTTACATATTTAGAATCCTGAGGGGTGCGCCTATTCTCAGATACACCCGGTATATGGCACATATATATGAAGGGTGTCGCCAAATAAGTTGTAATTTTTTAAGGGGTTGTTAGTACATGCCAAAAAAAGAAATTTTTTTTAGTGCAATTTTTTTTAATATAATTTTTTTTAAGTATCATAAGTAAAAGGGCCGCCACTAATTGTTCCTGACCTATGCAAACTAACCCAAAATATGCTTGCACAGTGGGTAATATTCCACATTCATTAAAAATTTACATACAGCACACAACAGTGTCATAAGTAGTAAGACTTTTGGATAATAAAATTCTTACATACTCGTAATATTATATAAACCTATCGTATTTTTTTGCAAAGGAAGAACCACTCTAAGATTCTAAGCCAGTTAAAAATTAGACTCTTTTTTTATAAATAATTTAGGAGATATGTATGTGTTGCTGAAAATATGTGCATGAGTTTTGCAGATATGTCTGTATTGCTGAAAATGTGTTGATCAATTTTAAATTTTAAATAAGTTTAAAAGTTTGCTTGATATTACATAAAACACTGTGCCCATAAAGTTCTTTTTTTTATCCGGACTGTGGCAACGTTGCAAATTTAGGGTTTTGGTTGGTAAATACAGTTGTCAAGTTGGTCGCATTGATTAAAACAAACTAAGCTAGTTATAAATCTAATTGTGGTTATGTATAAATTAATGTGGGTTACATTGTGCAGTTGTCAAGTTGAGTTGTCGAAATTCGTAGTTAAAAATGCAATTAATTTGGCTTTGGTGGTGCTTGGATGAGTAAAATCATATAAAAAAGTAGTTAAATATAGGTTGCTTTACAGTCCAGAAGAGAAAGTATTCCTAGCGGATAATAATCTTCGCTTTGAAAAGAATTTATATAAAAGAAATTAAGATTTTTTGTGAACGTAAATGTTGTCCAATGGTGAATAATGTGAAAATAATGTGTGATGTAATATTTATAAAACCAAGTTCGTTACTTTTTTACTCTAAAAATGTCCATAAGGCGATGTACTTTTTCTTCCATTGTGGCATTTGGCATAATTTCATCAAAATGAAGTTTTGCCCTCAAAAGGGCTTTTACATTCGAATTCGTTGCTATTATTCTTGGCATAATTATCTTTTTATTTATAATTGACAAGTAAATTATCAATAATAAATATTATTGTAAATTTGACAGTGTCAAAGTATTTAATTAAATTCTTTAGCAGAAGTACCATTTTTAAAGTCAAACTGGCATAAGCCTAACCTAATAAAAAAAATAGATAAAAAAAATGAACTGTACCTGTTTCTTTTTTGCTTAGATGATGATAAATAGGATTGGTCAGTGACATCCAATGGCTCCCTGGTTTTGTCAAAAAAAATTCATATTTTTTATTAAAAAGCATTAGGTATAATGCAAAATTTATTAGGTGACACCCTGTATAACCCATTACCACCACGCTTGACAACGGAAATAATAAACTACTTTTATTCGACGATTTCATTATTCACTGTAATTTGGACCAATCGGATAGTTGCAATTCCAAAAACATCATAGTCGCCCCTAGTATACCTACTAAATAAAATCCTACATCTGACAAATGATCTAACCTTACTTTTTAATTCCTCCTTTATTTCTTAAAATAAAAATATTCTAACAAGAATAGAAAAAGCATCTCCCGTATAATAATATACTAATATTTGTATTATTATTATGAAGTGTTCCTTTAATTAAGTTTTATTTTAAATTAAACAAAGTCATTAGGATGGTTCTAATTAAAGCTTGTAAACGTAATTATAAGCTTTTGTTTTATCTTAGGATTTGATTGACTGTGTAAATAATAATAAAGATTTAAATACACAGGATTTTATGTCTTAAAAACCAGTGTTCTTTAAAGGGTATTTTATTAAGAGCCAAGCTTGTTTTAATAAAACAACTTGGATAAAAAATATGAAATAAATTGTGTTAAAGTATTGGGATTATTGCAGTTATAGCACAACTTTTGTATGGTTTATTGTAAAAAAAGTTTAAATTAATTACACTAGTTAACAAAATCGAAAAAAATGTCTGCAACCATATCCCATTATAATTTTCCCATGCATTTTGACCCACTAAACACGAAAATCACATTTAATTTTTTTATGGAAGCGTTTTTAAGATATTTTGGAGGTGTTTTGATGTTTTTAAGTATAGCTTGATCTCTGATCGATTTAGCCAAACAAGCCCTTAAATTAAATTTATTTAAGCCCTATAAAACTTTCTTCTACATACGTAAGTTCTTTTAATATCGGAAGTATTTTGATGCTAGCGATTTTAATAACTTAAAAAATTCGATTTTATGGCAAAAATTGAGCTCAAAAATTTACATATCGCTCTGAGGAAAGGTTTAAATTAAACAGATGAATTTTTGAGTGGAAGATCAAAATTTAGCTTTTTGACGATTTTTTAGTTTTTGTTCTTTTATTTTGTAATATGTTTATTTTTTAATAAAAACCTAAATAAAGTGCATGATTGTTTTTTACGTACTTTTTTGAGTCCGCAAACGTAAATTTTTTTGTTTCTCGTGTTGGCATATTGACATTATACTGTTATTTTTTGACATTTCAACAAGGTATTTTAATCATTGTTTATTTAGTTAATAAAAAGTGTAAAATGAGTAAAATATGTAGAGGACAAGGGTTCTGGGATGCAGCCAGATGTGTCCCTCATACGAGAAACGGAATACGAAAGCAACAAAAAAACAAAGAAGGAGCCAGAATTTCTTTAAACCTATGCTTATTACAACAAAATAAAACTTTTAATATCTTCAATGTTCAATATTTAATGTTCAATATTAAATTTTATATAATTCAATAAAATGAAGAAAAAATTTAAACTTTCTCGAAAAGCCGAATTTTGATCTTTCACTGAAAAATTCATTACTTCGCCATTTATCTATGGTTTTTATTAACAGCAAAATATTTTTTTCCTTCAAGTATTATCTATACGTTAAACAAATTAAACTGGTTTTATCTTTTGGATTTATATCTTTCTCAGAAAGATATGTGAATTTTTGTAAAAATGAGGACTTTTTTAACTTAATAAAAGTACTGGTCCGATACCAAAACTATACAAGAAAAACTGGTAGAGGGCTCAATTACCTTTGATTTAAGTGCTTGTTTGGTCAAATCGATTAATTAGAACTTGAAGTATACTGTAAAACGTCAAAACATCTCAGAAAATTTAAAAAAACAAACAATTGAAAATTCATATATCCAAAACGCTTCCATGAAAAAATTTGGGACAACTATCTTGTATATTGCTGGATACTATGCATATTTAGTACTTTTTAAATATCCTTTTATGTTAAACCTTAAGGTAAAATATTATTATTCTCAACAATACTGTTTTTTATTCTTATTATAATTAGATTTTTTCCATTACTAATAAGTAAAGTAAATTTTAAAATATTATCTTGCCATTTTAAATATAAAATATATGTTAACAACAAAAAATTTTAACATATTTATTGTACTTTTTAATATACAAAAATGTTATGAAAAATAATTGAACCTACACCTCACCAAAGTTTTTTGTTTTGTGTGCGTTCCATCAACTTCAAATACCGACAGACAGGTGTTTTAATCTATATTGGGTATCATCAGTGTCGACACTACACTGTCGAGCAACTTGTAGTAGTGGAACACACCCAAAACAAAGAAATACCTGAACTTATATAATATGGTTGGTGAGCCAACAGAGGCGAGATGTAAGAACATCACGTGATCCACACCGTCTAACGACGCATCGCGACGTGGCCTTTGCCGTAATCGGTACATAATATGCAACCAAGTAGGTTCAATTCTTTCTTATAAGTATTACCAGTAATGCTGCCCAACTATGGAGAAAGGCAGTAACTGCTAAACAAGAAATTCGTGGGAAATTAGCATAAACTACATTTTTATAAAAAGCAGTAGGTATTTAACTGATTTATTTAACTTATAAGATAGTTTACTGCATTTCTTTGTTGAATTAAGATACAAAATGTCCATAGCTTTATCATAGCACAAGAAAACGCATTTAGAATTTTTTTTGTAGCTACTGCCTTTCTCCATAGTAGGGCAAAATGGGTCAAGAAAGTTTATTAAAGAAACTAAGAAAATTGAATGTTTAAAATGTCATGAGATACTATATTGTTTATTTACCTTAAACAAAAAAGTATCTTTATTTTTACTATATTTTTTTATTAATGAGTAAAATATTATAATATTAGATGCACACCTTACATTTGGTTAAATCATATAGTAAATATTACTATTTGTAGATAGTAAAATCAATTTACTATACGAACATATTAAAAATTAAAATATATATTATACATTTATGATTTAGTAATATTGGTGTTGTAATCTTTACTAAAATTGTATAATAAAAAATAGTATTTTGTATTACAATCTTAATATTGTAAAGACGAATATATAATATTGTTACCCTAAAAATTTCTTAAAGTAAATTTTACTATATTTTTTTTACTATCTAAAATTTACTTTTTTATCCGTGTGTCATAGCACATATTTTAATTAAAAGCAACTTTATTAATCGAAGAAAACAATGAATTTAAACGAAACTACCTGACACCGCTTTTTTTGTTTCAGTTTTCACAATGGCCCGCAAAAACTGAGCGAGGCCATGCGCCAAAGCATGTCCAAGGACCCTGTAGCCCCCATTCTATGGGAGCCCCACATGGAGGCACTGGACCGTCGTGTGGAAATAATTCTCAGAGGCGTGCGAGACTGTTTAACGAAAGGCGATGACGTCATATCCGACCCCAAGGACGAAGATACGTAGATAGTGAAGACAAAATTAGGCTAGGAAATATCAAATTGGCTTGGACCACTATCTCAGATGTGTGTGGTCTAAGAAAAAAATATTAATTTTAATTTTGTTACTTAATTATATTTTTATTATTTTGATCCTTGACACGTTTTGAATTTTATTGCAGAAATTAAGATACTAAAACAGATACATAATGAGATTTGTTGTCTTTGAATTATTGTCCTTTATTTCAGATATTCTTGAACCAGTTTGGAGAAGAAATTATCAAATTAATCTGGAAAATAGAACAAAGGACAAATAAATCCTAAAGATACAACTAAGCTTTACTAATCTTTTTACTAAATTATTGCGCTTCTTATTTGTTTTGCCTCAGAAAAGGATTTTCCGAGATCTTAGTTTTTACAATGTATTGTTTATCAACAATATTTTAAAAATTATTGCTATTTTCAAAAAAATAATTTAAATTAGCTAAACAAAAATTGTTACGTATGTGAATTAGGATGAAGTGGTCCCCAAACAAAAAGTCAATAATATGTCTATGTATCTGTTTTAATATGTTTATTTATTGAACCAAATATTTTAATATAATGTTAAGAATAATACTTTTCTGATAATATCTAAAAGTTTGCAATATTATAGGAGTTTTATTAACTTCATAACAAAAGAAAAATCACTATTAACGTCAAGTTTCAACATATTCTTTATTTTTTAATTTAAGGACTGCAAACTTATATTTATATATTGGGTTAAACCTAAAGTTGACTTTTTTATTTAACTTTTTGAGGAGGTAGTTTTTATTTATGGTTAGTCTAGTCTAAACACCAATATAAAAAGCCCAATTTTTACAAAACTTACCTACATAATTTTTGGGCTATTTTAAACCTATTCACCTATTTTAGTTACCAAAGAAAATATATATTTTATATTTTTTTAGTCCATACTATCTATCCTAAACAATCTGTAATATTTTACTTACTTTATTATACAGGTTGTTCTATAAGTTGATGTAAACACTCTGTAATATTATTTTCATGTTTTAGTCATAACTCTACCAAAAAAAAATCGTAGCCTTAAGTTTTATTATTCTCAAAATCTTATCTGTGCCAAGAAATTTTAAAAATGTTATTCATGGTATTTTGTTTCATGTCTTGTAAATAATAAGTATTTTGTAAATTTCTGTAATATACTTGTACAATATTATAAAAAGAATCATGGGAAAATGTATCAAACATGGGGAATTAGATGGTATATTGGTACATTTTATATTATATTATATAATGTTTAAATATGTAATAACTGATATGATAAACCAAAGTTGACTGTTATATTGTGATCAATAAATTGAATATATACGATTTTTGTTTTTTTATAGAGTTTTTCTGCTTAAAAATACTTAGTAATAGTTATTTATGTCATTAGGTTAAGAAGTAAGGCTTTTTGTGCTAAGCTCAAGGTTTGAGCGAAGCACAAAAAGGCACTTCTTGGCCGAATGGAATACAACATTTTATCTTCAAAGCACTTTATATAGGTCAATTTAATTCAACATCAAAGCGATCTAACCTCACTTTTTTAGAATCTCATTTATTTATTAGCTAAAGATTACATTATGTACAATAATTATTATTGCTTTTAGAAGCAGTAATAGTTTGATAATACCTAGCAACATGTTTTAAGTAGAAATGGATTTTTGCTATTACGTTGAATTCAATTAATTGTTTAATAATTAGGTAGGTATCTAATTTCAATTTATTTGGATTTTTATTTAAAAAATAGGTAGTTTGGAATGTTAAAGCTGTGTTTAACATTTAATTTTACTGAAAACTTAAAGCAAATTAAAACTTAAAGATAATTTAAATCGTAGAAAAAGAATCGTGAGTTTTCTTGGTTGCCTAACCTCACTTTTTGTTTTATTATTCATATTTAATTTTACAATAATGTAATGAAAAATAATAAACATTAACAGTAAAACAAACAAATTAGTGCTTATTATAAATAAATTAAACCAGTTTAGTACGTTAATTTCTTATAAAAGGATTAATTTGTCAAAACAATACCCCTAGCGAGAAAAAATCGAACTAATTACTTGCCTCATAAAATTTTTTATCGGCCTAGGCCATAACAAGGTATTTCTTTATCGAATGTTGACAACAACAAAGTTTAAAATATAGACCGCGTGGAGTTAAAATACATTAATGTAACCTAACGTTTTTTTCCTAAATTTGTAGAAAAAATGTACTTGTGACGTATCTAGGAAGATTTTAAATCTAGTCCGTTATTTGCGTCACTAAAATAAAAAAAAACTAAACATTTTTTAAAGTTATACTTCCATTGGCAACGATGACGTCAAAGTATTAGGAGAGCACGAAGCATCGAACAAATTGGATAATTGAACTGCCCTTTCACGCATACATTTAAAAAATGGTAGGACACATTTGCTCAGTACGTCAAAATTAAAAATTAGTGGGGAAAAATTCCACAGTAGTATAAATTTAAATAATGGTAAAACAAAAATTACCACAGTGTAAAATTTTAAAAAATTTAGGATAAATTCGCACGGTAGCAATTTAAAAAAAAGTTAAAAGAAAACATATTTGGTACTAATTATAATTTTTTTCTGTATACCATGGTTTTAAGTGTTACCTAATTGCATGTAAAACGTTTTTTAGTTACTACAAAGAAGTATCTAAAGTACGGTAAAATGCAAAATGTATTCACAATTCTATTAATGGTGTCACAAATGCTTCCATGTCGCAAACTCAGCCATTTAGCTGGCTTAGTTTATTATATGCTAATTTATTTTAATTATCTTTTAATGTAAATATAGTTTTCTTATCTGCACGATGAAGTTGCTGAAATATATACAAGGCAGAGCAAGCAAGAGTTTCAAGACTTATTTTGCCTGAATTATCAAGTTTGTTATTAATACGAGCACGGACTTGTGCATGCGTTGCCGAATATTCTTGGCTCGATTAAACATGCCTGAAATGGTTCCTTAATTAGGAAAACGTTAAAACAGTTCCCAAACTATCAAACTGTAAAAGCTAATCTTTACAAACTGCATTACAAGTACACTGCAAAAATTAATATGTTTGTGTCGGCTTACTTGATGAAATCATCCATTTCATGGAACATATCAGAACACCAGAATACTATTCTGAGAATAGTATATTATTTTATAAGAAGTCAAAGTGGTCTGTAGGGTAATTTTTTTTCATTGGTTTTTTAAGGTAGCTTTAAAATTTGGGCCAACCCGTTTGCAAAAGCTGTCAAACTTAACATAATGGAATCACCGACAAATCGTCACCCTAATATAACAAGGTTGTATGTTAAAAAACCGAAAAATTTGAGTTTATGCTTCTACAAGGTTTTATATAATCCATCCTTGACATACAACTTGAAAATAACTATATATATATAATATATATATATATATATATATATATATATATATATATATATATATTTGTATACATAGAATATACATTCTGTAGAATTATTTTTAAGTGGTATGTGAAGCGTAGGCCACGTATAATCCTGTAGAAACATAAACTTAAATTTTTCGTTTTTTTTTAAATACAACCTTGTTATATTAGGGTGACGAAATATCACTCTCTTAATGCACATCATGCAATGGGCTAGAATATTAAAAAATAGTAGATTATGTCATAAGAAGTAGAAGTGACTCTTTTTGTAGTGAGTACAGAGATTGAATATTTTTTGATTAATTTCATCTGAAATAAATATATATCCTTGGCATAAAAACAGAAGGGATTTTGCTTTCGGTACGCGCCTAAAGAGCGGCATGCTTTGTCGGCTTTACACCGCGTTATTACAAATAAGCCGCATTATTATAAAATAATAAAAACAGTAGAATATTCGCTACTCTACTGTACTCATTGTTTATTGTTTATTTGATTTATTTTTGGTAGAAATAAACCATTTGGTAACAATTTTTATTTTTTTAAGTAATTTTGCGCTAAAATATCGTTTATTTCACGAAAATGTAAATTTTTCAATAAACGCGACTTAAAAATAATAAAATTTGCAATTTTTTGTGTAAATGTTTAAAACCAAAAGTCAAGTTTTGTTGAAATGGTGTACAAAATACACCGGTGTGTAGTTTTACTTCAAAAATTCTAATTCCAATTCTAAAATCATCAATCAATAAAACAATGGTCGATTAGTTTCGTAAGTTTATCCTGTTGAAACGTTAGATAATATTAATAAGCCGTAAACTGCCGTACCATTTGTAGTAGGTGAAAAAGCGATAACGCAGCCAAAGCCTTAACATAAGGTGCCCGATAACTCATCGAGCTTCGCACTAAACAATGCGAGGTGGCCGTTTAAATTACCCCAGCGAATTTATGTTATTAAGTCGCAAAAAGGCCGGGAATCTGGCTGCGAACTGATAAAGAAGTTAAATGTCTGGCGTGTCGTAGGTTAACGCAAAATAACACACACCATCACCGCCACATACACACTGTTACCAACCTCGTTTCTTTATCTATTTCTGTATATGTGGCAGATGCCTTTGTATACAAGGTAAAAAACATTAAGGGACCTGTAACATTATTACACAGTAAAAAAATATTTGTTAAGTTTACAACCAACTGTAATCTGTAAACTAATTGAATAAGTATTACAGACATTTTGTAGAGATTTAATCTAATAACAAAATTCCATGTCAATTTCAACCATAATTCTTGTATTTTTTTTTACAAACTTTTATAAAATATATGTAGACCCAGTATCAAAAGTAAGTGTTGTAAATTGGAAAAAAGAGAATTTGTTATAAAAAATTTTGCTTTATTAAACGTGTTTCTAAATAAAACAAAATTAACAAATACCCACAATCCACAAAACAAGTTCTGTTCGATCTCGTACTAAAAATCACTGCAACACTGCATATCATTTAATGGCGGCCACACAATAAAAAAAATCAACTCTAAGCAACACTAATTAGAGTTCACACAGGTCCACACTAAATAGTGTTGTTTTATAACACTACAATT